CCCCCCCCAGCAGGAGGACACCCTGAGCCCATCTCTGACCTTCTGGCCAGTGCCTGGCTGTGATTACGCATAGACTCCCCACACGTTTTACCTCCCTCCACGCGCAGATGGCTGAATAGACTGATGTCCCGGTCCTTAACAACCGTCCATTGCTTTGTTGCAGGGCATCGTGGGCAACTTGGCCAGCGGCAAGTCGGCTCTGGTGCACCGCTACCTGACCGGCACCTACGTCCAGGAGGAGTCCCCCGAAGGTACGCTGCAGGCCTGGCCTAGGAGAGCTTAGTGTTTTAAATGTTTCTGTAGTGAATCCTAAATCGTTACATTGATGTATCACATGTCAAGACAGTAACAGAGCACCAAGCAGTAGAAATCCTTGGATACATTGTTTCTTCTGTAGTATGTGTAGCTGACCGATGATAGTCTCTGTGGCATTCGGAGCAAGGGTAGAACCATGAAATCAATCCTCTTGAATTTATTTCTTCCCTGATAGTTCTGTCCTTTCAATCGTCAATCTGGTCTTACTCACTTAAATACTGCTCTGCCATTTCTCCAACCTAGATGTTGAGTTTAACATTTTATTTTAAAATATGTTTTTATTGATGCAACCCGGGCATGTGCCCTGACCAGGATTCGAACTGTGACCTCCTGGTTCATAGGTCGACGCTCAGCCACTGAGCCGTGTGGGCCAGGCTGAATATTGAGTTTATACATATTTCGTATGTCCTGTGACGTAGTCGTAGATATGAGCCATTCAGATGACCCACCAGCACATGCTGGAGTATGTTTCCCCCTTTATACTGTGTGATAAACATTTAATGATCGTTTTGCATGCGAATAAGACATTTGGCTTGCCGTGAGGCTTTTCCTGCTTCAGTTAACGTGTCCATATTTTATTTCCTGCCTTAAACAAGAGTATGGCAGTAACGATAGGAACCCATGCAGCCCCGTGCCCCTAATCCAGGTGTAGCGCACAGGCAGATTTTCTAAATTATATTTTCTCTCCGTGTAACCTTGTAAAATCCAACTCTAAGACACTGAATTTCTGGTTCCTTCTTTTTCTTACTGGCTGTTCCATTCTTTGCAGATATGGATGCAGGTAACTATGCCCTTTCTTCATGGTAGCGCTTGTCTTGTTTGGAGAGAGGAGAGGCGGCTCTGTACTGTAGTGTTCCCTCCCCTCCTTGTCCTGTGCTCCATCCCGTTGCTTTCATTTTGCCTTTTCTTTAAGTTAAACATCTCACCCTGTTTCGTCCCTTAGACGTGTCTTTAGCAGTAGTCTAGCTTCCCATGTTTCCTGTAACATGTGTTTGGTGTTTAACTCCTGTCCCGGGGACTGTGGAACCGTTGAGAGGAGTGTGGAGGGGCGGATTCTGTGGCCAAATCTGCTCGGGGCTCTACCGTTAATTTGCGGACTTTTGTAAACACGCCAAAGCCGCACGGTGGTCCCATCAGGAGAGGCCGGCTTTTTGCATGAACCAGGCGGAGGGATGGTTTAGGATGATTTAGGAAGCTCGGAGGTTTACTCGGAGGCCCGAAGGTGGGAGTCGGTGCTTGAACTCGCGGCCCGGCTGGAGTGTGCATCGGGGGCTGCGGTGTGGCCTGGCCGGGCG